TCTGCTGGGTGTCCCTCACCATTGCCCCGTGGGAGTCGTGTTTCCCCACTCCCTGACTCCCAAGTATTTAGGAGTATGTATTTTTCCAGCTTCCAAGAGGTTTTGTGATCTTGAATGAGTGTGCTTAGGAACCCCCATTTGGGTTGAAGTCCCAGTACTGTGCCTTTGCTGGGCCTGTTGCAGTTTTGTTCCTGCAAATCCTCTGTGGTCTGTCCTCGAATGCGGAGCCCTGGACAGACTCTCTCTCCCTTTCTCTGTGTGGGTATTTCCTGACCTTCAGGGTGTTTCCCCAGCCTTAGCAAAGCCAAATAATTTTTTCCTTGGCTGAGTTGATACAAAGGCTGGAATAAGGTCAGGATCCCCAGTGCTGAGGCGTTTGGCCGGGCTCCAAGCGAAGACCTCCAGGCAGAGGCTTGTGGCTCTTCCACCTTTCTGGATGAGTGAATCCCTCATCCTGAGCAATAAGGATAAATATTTCTGCTGCTCTTTCCTCCAGCCCTCCATGGATAATCTTCAGCGGTAACTGCAGGACTCGGTGTGTCATGTGCAAAGGTTGGTCAAAAGATGATCTTGGAGGTCTTTTCTGACCCTCACGTGATGCAGAGCAGCTTTCCTGGGGACCATCCACCACCAGATGGGGAAGGAAGGAATGTCAGCCCCCAGACAAGCTTGTCCTGTGCTGTGTCACAGGGACCAGCAGGAATGTTCCTGTTGCACTGGTTGTCCTGGTGGAGAGCTGGTGGAGGTGCTGTGGTGGGAGCAGGGCTCCTCCCCTCGGGGCTGCTGGACCCAAACGATGCAGAGCTGAGAGGCTGCTGCTGGAGGAGACAGAAGGGTTTGTGTTTCTATGGATTTGGGATTTGGCCAGTTTTCCCTCGAGCTCCCAGGAAAATGATGGAAACCCATCTTCTGAGCTGGTGTCGGTGCTCCACCCTGGGGGAATGGCAGGAGGAGCTTTGGGTGCTCTGTGGGATCATTTCTGCTGATTTGACTGTAGCTGTGACATTGAATTTCCTTCTTCCCGTGCTTTGATTTGAGATAATTGCAGCAAATTATGTTGCTTGAGATATTTTATAGATATTTTTATATAAGTATATTTATTTATATTATGAGTTGGTCCTGGGCACAGGGGCTGTTGGTATGGAGGAAGAGACTGTTCTGGGGATCTCCTGTACCCTCAGCAAGGGGCTGACACCCCATTCCTCCACACCCTGGAAGTGTCCAAGGCCAGGTTGGATGGGGCTTGGAGCAACCTGGTCTGGTGGAAGGTGTCCCTGCCCATGGCA